GCGACAGTCTCCGGCGGCTCATTACAAAAATGTAAACCTACCTGTCCCACCCGTACACGTCACTTCGCGGGTACACTCTGGGGCGGCTCATTACAAGAAAAAAAAAAAAGAGAATACAATATAGGAAAGCTAATCTTAGCTGTCGATGAGACGTCGTTCGACGAATGAATGGCGACTGTGGAATTTCGTGGAAATACTTCTGCCGGCTGCTGGGAGAATAGACACTACCTAAGACTCACCCCCGGTTCTTGTTTGCTTAGTAATCTTCTCAGTTGTGTAACAGCTTCTTCGTGCCACTTCACATAACACGGATTGCTTGCAAGTTTTACCTGTTTACGGAATTGGCTGCCTAATAAACTTCTATGAGATTTGAAAACAATCCCTTGTGTCCGTTTACCTGCCTTTTTGCAATCACCGGGGTGCATGCATTTTTTAAGGGTTTCCTTGATGCCTTAAATAGGTTTATGAAGTTAGCAATTGAAACGGGAGCATAAAGTGGTGTGACCATGCACCTTTGAATCGGGTGCATTTATGCTCTTTTCGAACTCAGTGTGAGGCGGGTGTATGAAGCGGTGCAATGGTACACCTTCGAATGGGGTGCATCTGTGTACCCTTTCATTTCATTGGGTGTAGAAAGAGGTGTAGTCGTACACCATTGAATGGGGTGCACCTGTTTTCTCTTCGAGTGACATTTCTCTAGAAAAAGGTGTACAGTCGGCCGCAAAATTTTGCGGGACATGGGAGCGCCAGCCAAACTGCATTGCCGCGCCGTCTCGTGGCCCGCTGCCTGGTGTCAAGACCCGCGCATTGCGCATGCGCGGTCTTTCATACTAGCAGGCTTGTCCTGTTCCCTGGCTTCCGTCCGACGCGCTCCCGATTACTGCGACCGGCGCAAGGTGCCGCTTCGCAACCGCTATGCAGCGAGTCATGCTTCAGCCGGCGCGACGGGCAGCTGGGCTCGCTTGAACCGTCTTCGCGGCGCGGTACACTCTCCAGATAACATTTCACTGGAATTCACTGCTCAACCCGTAGCCGAGATTCCAGCGAAATGTTATCTGGGCTTCTAAACTCGTCATGCACAAAGTTGGGGCCGAAGTTGACGGAGCGCACCGATGGGCTCATCACGACGATGACTTCGCGCTTTTTGCGCCGACGTCCAATGGGCGCGCTCCGCGAACTTTCGGCTCATGCTTTGTGTTTGGCGAGTTTAGGGCCCTTAGAAAGTGCACCGCGACGCGAAGAGGGTTCAAGCGAGCTTGGCTGCCCGTCGCGCCGGCTGAAGCAGACTCGCTGCACAGCGGTTGCGAAGCGGCATCTTGCGCCGGTCGCAGTAATCGGGAGCGCGTCGGACGGAAGCCAGTGAACAGGACAATCCTCCTAGTATGAAAGGCCGCGCATGCGCAATTCGCTGGTCTTGACACCAGGCAGCAGGCCACGAGACGGCGCGGCAAGGCAGTTTGGCTGGCGCTCCCATGTCCCGCAAAATTTTGCGGCCGACTGTACATGTGCACCACAGCAACGGGTGTACACATACTCCTATATTTGGGGTGTACACGTATTCCCCCAAAGGGTGCAGTTTATGTGACAAGCACTTACAGCCCTTCTGGGTGTACCCCATGAAACCCTTTTTTTAGAGTGCAGTTTCATTGTCAGTTGTAAATATTTGACTGCCAGCTAGAACAGTTCGACTGCCAGTTCAAACTGTTTGGCAGACAGCATGAACATTGTGACACCAGTGTTGCCAGTTCAAGCTACCAGTTTTGCCTGGTTAACTACGTGTTTAAACTGTACAATTGACAGTTCAGCCAACTCAGCTGCCACCTTGGCTTTTTCAAGTTCGACCAATTTCGACAGTTTGATTTCCTATTTGCCTGGTACAATTCCACTGAAACAAGGCCGGCTTGCTAGAAACAGCGTCTCAGCTGAGACTGGGTGAAAGAAAGCACTGCCAAAGCCAGCGCACGAGCTGCGCGGGACTCAAGCTGCGTCTCAAGACGCTCGCGCGCCCCAGCCTTTGCACGCCCCAGCCTTTGCAGTGCTTTCTTTCACCCAGTCTCAGCTCAGGAGCTGTTCTAGGAAGCCGGCCCAGTTCATTTCGGGTTTGGCCTGTTCATGTCCAAACTGTTTTCAAATCGTTTTCTTTCTTCAATGGGGAAAACGTGTCCTTTTTTATGTCTCTAGCTAAAACAGACTTCTTGCACTGAAACGTCGCTTTCTAGTGCAAGGCCTCGTGCCACAAAGCACCAAGAATATGTTAAGACAACGCTCATACGAATAAAAAAAAAAAGTAGAAAAGTTAAACGAGCTATAGAGTAACAGTGGCTTTCAGCGGGCGTTCTGTGTCCAATTAAATACGAGCTTGAGCCAAGGAATATTGCATAGCGGCAATTCCCTGTTTTTGTTTTCCGCTCTTGGCCGTCACGGCGGAAAGAGATCATCGTCCTCAGCTATCTCGCTGTCTGAGGAGTCTGAAAAGTCAAGGTGGTCATCATCAGAAATAACCCCTAGATTGTGTTGATGGTACGGTAAGGTGTAACTGTGCCTGTGGTGGTCAGATATGGAACTGAAAGCAAGGAGTGCAGCATTCCGCTGGGTTGATTCGATTTTGACAAGTAGGTCGCCAGAAGCCATTTTCTTGGCTTTGAATTTCTTACCGACAGTACGTTCAAGTACCTTTGCTACAAGAAAAGGAAAAGGCTTAGAGAGTTGTTTTTCACTTCCAGAATGGAGGACCGAAAATTTTAGGAACCTAGCAGGGGTAGGTGGCGTCTTTTCTGTGGTTGGAACTTCGGTGCGGACCCTTTTCGAGAGCCGATAAAGGAAGGTTTTACTGCGAGAAGCAATAATAGATAAGAGGAAGCTTCAGTGCCCCTGGCCCACCACACACTACGGAGCCCAACAAGGCGGTAGGTACTGAGCCATAACAAAAAGGCGCTTTGCTGACAACAGTACACTACCAGTGCTACCGCCGCGCAATACCAAGAGTGGGTGCAGGGACAGGACCTGTTTCCACCCAAGGTTAACTCTTGACGCCTAAGGAGGTGAAAAAGAAATAAAATGTTGAAAGAAGACGTGGAGGATAAAGTGAAAATAGGAAGAGAGTAGAAGACGTGACTGAACGAATCATTCTGGCCAGCCATATCGGGACACCCGTCTGTGACAAGCAAGGGCCAAAGTGGCGTATTGCCTCACCCAGAGGTGCCGCAAGGGTCCAAACCTACCCCAGGTTCGGCTCAACTACCAGGATGCCCTTTTCCCAAACACGCCCCTGCCACGCAAAGCCAGGCGCGGATGGATGAACCCACATGGCTCGGGGTCCATTGTGATGCCACTCGTTAACACCTACTTACGCAAGTTCCCCCGGTGGGGAATGATGGCATGCAACTATAGTAGCAAAAATAAGCATCATACGACGCCTTACAGAGTAAAGCAAGAAACGCGGTAAAACGCAACGAAAAACACAAATATAACGCATTTGTCGAGTCACGGAGGCGGAGAGTGGAGCGACGATTTGAAGCCAGCTTATGGTTGCCGCATCACGTCATTCCAAAATAGCTGCGCTCCCATACAACAGAGGGTGAAAGGGTTTATAGACCGACTCAGCTTTTTTACATCACGCCACGGCGGTGGCGCTTCAGGTGCCACCGCCGAAAACTAATCTAAAGCCAAAATGAGGTGCTAACATTTATTTCAGAAGTTCATATAATAACTAAGGTGTGACTCATGTAAAAAGCTAGGAATGTCAGGCACACTGCATTGGCAAAGATTGCTAGTGGCAGAGGAGAAAAGAAACGAAATTTGGAGAATCAACTTTATGACAGCATTCATACAACAAAGCTAAATATTTAACGATTTTTAATTACCAAATCAATATATAACTGATACGCACAAGGAAAATATAACTTTTCTCATGATAGTTCTGTACCGGGTTCTCAAGGAAACTGCAAAGTTCTCTTCTCTGAAAGTTAAAATGACGGGAAAGAAGCAGCAGAAGAACAAATGGACGAGATTGTTGCCCATTACTCGGCGAGGAGAAATACTGACATTCCGAACTAAAACATAGATCAGGGCTTACGCTATTTACACGGAAATGTTCCTCTTAGAAAAAAGGCCAGCAGTCGCATAATAAATTCAACAGGGCAGCCGGGCATGGGCCCGGCTGCCCTGTTGCCACGAGTGCCGGAGTGCCTTGTTGGGCCTTGCATGATGGCTTGGTCGGTAAGATTCTGATTCCGAGAATTCGTACACACAGCGACCGTCGCCGCGGCGTATAGTTTAGTGCATTTTTTTTTGTTATCTTTTGCTGCTTCAGTTCAGAACGCGCGAGGAAAGCATGTAAAAAAAATGCCCGCTGGCTGTCGCAGGAAAGTGACCGAGCGACGCTGTTGGTCATGTCATTCCTCAAAAGTGCACAAGACACCTCTGAAGCTGAAGTAGAATTCAATCTCAAACCACACAACATTTACAATTATATTGTTTCCCGAAAGCAAAATTATTCTAGGGTTTTGCGATACGCACACTTCTCGTCGTAAGATCGTTTCGTGAATGGCTGCCGATTTAAACACGGCTCAATGTTTGTACGACAGATAAATATCCTCCACTCGCCTATAACAGTCATGTTTTTATTAGGGCAGTCAAGCGAGCTGTTTACAATAGGTGCCTTTTAGATTGAACTTCTTTTTTTTTTATAATTCCAATTTATTAAAGGAATTGTACATTCAAAACTGGACACAGCATATTTTCGAGTAAAAAGTTTGTTAATTAGCCTCCATCCGCGAAAACCCCTATTGAGAGCTGACGCATAATACAGTGACAAATGCAGTAATTTCTGGCCACATTAAACAATGTTGAAAATACACTAGGATACTACCTACTTGCATTTAATGTTACGTCAAAGAGAGGTAAGCAAAATCAATCTTGCAGTTTTATTAGAGTAATTACTCTTGCTATTTCCGCGCGATTTCACAGATGTGCGAACTTGCTGATGTCATCGTGAACTTCCGAATTTCTCTTCAATTAAAACAGCTCTCTTTCATCGTCAAGTTTGTCAATGTCCAAGATTCCCTTGATACTTCGCTGAAAAAAAGAAAGAAAAACAGTAAATGAAGCAACAGCATAAATATATGTTTAACTCTTGATACGAGCAACTTGACACTTATAAAGATGACCATGTTTCAGTGAGGTTCTCGTCCAATGCAACCAAGACAACAAACGTTGCATTACACACAAATCATGCTATTCTCACCCGAGAGCTATCGCTCAGCACCTTGAGCCTCCTAACCCAACATCACGCCGACAAACAGTCATGGTTATAGGCGTATTTTCGGACATATACCCGCCTGCAATAACTCCTCATTACCAAGCGCAGTCATGCACTGGAATAGTCTACCTGACCACATAACCTCACTTACTGACCCTGCTATTTTTGAGTTTTTATCTTAGAATTCTTGAGTGCTCCATAGTTTCTATTGCTCATGATGTTCTGATTTGAACGGTGTTTACATTTTGTATAATACATGGGTTTTCGTCGCTGGTGGCACTCTTCTGTAAAGAGTAATAGAATGTATACCTCAAGTTGTTTTCGTACTAAAATTGCTTAGGGCTGAGAACACGCGAGGTTCTTTTTTGTGTGAGTCTTTTTACAAGTGTATGTACTGTACCCTGACTAAATCCTCACCTGCGTAATTTGCAGAAATTAACAGGCAAAGTATTTTGACTTAATAAATATTCGCGTCTTCTCATATTGCTCATCTAAATACACCGGCTATCTCTAAAGGGGTATTTGACCTCTATAGCAATTTTTTAATAATTAGTTGAGAGCTCATGGGTAAAATAGTGAATCAGAGCTTGTAGAGTTTCTTTACAAGGCTCCTTTTATCCATAAAGTTAAATATATTGTTAAGTATCGCCATCTCAAAATAAAATATATTACCATTAAACCGTCAAATTTACATATATTGTCATAATGGGAGTTTCTATTTTATTTCGGGCTACATTTTAAGCCAAGCGTACATTCTAAATAGGGCAAAAGTTCAAAATATATATTTGTGTGCTGTACATAATTCTACCCGAAATAATTTATTCTATAATCTTTAGATTTTCAAACCTGTATTGCATTGCCAACTCTGGACACGAATGAAAAAGCGAAGACCATAAATCTTTGACACTTTCCGCCAGAAGGCTTACGTAAAGACGATTTCAATGCATAGAAAAATATATGTTTCACTAACTTAAATATATATAATTTGCTTAATAACACTTTACGCATAATTCCAATAGAAAGTTATGCGCCAAGAAAGTGAGGGAAAGGAAAAGACGAGAAGGTGCGGGGATGTCAGAATGCCAAGCTCTGATTGGAGGGATTAGTGGGTAGATCTAAAGCTAGCTAGCTGCCTTTGTCCTCACGGCACTTGTCGTACGCCTTCAGATGCGAGAGCCAAACGCCTGCTTTCCGTGTTGTAATGCGTTTGATGAGCGCAATTGAAACAATAACTGCTAGCTTTAGCTCTACCTATTAATCCCACCAATCAGAGATCGGCTTCCTCACGTCACTGTGCGGTCTCGTATCTTCCTCTCCCTCACTTTCTCGGGAGATTAGTCATGATAAAAACCTTGTTTAGGCATCAATATAATCGGTGTGCTTTTTATTTCTGAATTTTAAGAAATCGCGATATTTGAATGATTACTACGGTATTCATTTCACGTTACACGCATTTGCATTTTCGAAGCAAAACTAAATGAAAATATTGTAATTAAGCTAGCACAGTGATATCTTAAAAAAGACACGCAAATACAATCAGCGGGAGTGTGTTTGTTCTTAGTAGAGCCTATAAGTTGGGTGTCCAGCTAGTAATGAAAATTTAACTTAGCAAGGTCATACACATTTTGTTTCAATTCGAAATACTATTTTTGATGTAAAACATTTACATAATGGTTTTTGAATTAAACAGCGTTTCATAACGTTAAATAATGACCAGGGTTTTCACTTTGCTTTCATACAAAGTTTGCTTCACGTGTGTGTAAAGCCCAAAAATTAATAAGGGAACAAAGCAAAATGACTAACGTTTTACTTCTAGAACAGCAGGAACAGTTAAATATACACATCAAATAAATGTCTCGTAATAGGGTCATTTAACCCGCTACGCTTTCTAACTGAAGTTCAAAAACAAAACTGAAAAAGGCTCTTCTGGGTACGCCCTGGAAAAAGGCTCCTTATCAGGCAAATAATACGTTTTCTTAATTAAGAAAACCTTGGTGTCCAAATGTTGCAACATGGGGCGTTACGCTGAGTAGTCAAGAAATCGTGCACATTTTCAACAAATAATTATTGTAAAAGTGCTAAAAGTAAAGCCAAGTGCCACAAAGTATTACTCACGTTTGCAGATTTCTTCGCACTGCAGAGCAGTCTTAAACAAATTCGTGTTACCAGGCACACTCCTTGAGACTTTTCTCGCTGAGCTACATAAGTTTGTTTTAATGTCATAATAATACCGCTTAAAGAATCCAAAATTTGGATTACGCCCAGTGTCTGGTTTCATATTGCAGCGATTGATTGCTGTCACAAGTAAAAAAAGAGGGAGGTTAAGCAGGGGTATAACACTTATGTTAATGTTCAAAGCACCAAATGACTTCGATCATACACTTGCATAATCGAGACCTTGTTCTTTGGGCCGCTTCAGACTAGGCAATCGTTTTCAGCATCTTGTCTTCGAAACACTGGCCACAGTTTCTCCCGCGTTCAATGACAATAACGTTTGAGGTTTGACTGCTACTTTTTAACATCAAAATTAATTTTCTGATTTTCTTTATTAATTAACTAAGATTAACTGAATTTAATTTAGTAAATACAAACTTATGGTTTTATCAGATTCTTCCTGAGCAGTATAAAAAAAACCTAAATCAACTCATTTTAGAAAAATATAGGGCAGGTAGGACATTTTAGAGCGTTCCAAAAAAAACGCTAAGTTTGACGTGTTTCTGTGCTTCGGTTTGCTATTGGAGCGTTTATTGGAACACACATCAGAGAGCATCCATCCCCTCCCCTACATCGTACGATGGAAAGTATGGCGCATGAGTATTGCGCGCCTCGGCCACGAAAAGGGTGTAAGACGTAAAGAGGTGTGGACGCTGTGCGCGTCACACCTGCTGTAAAAAGTCTTCGCGCCTTGGATGCAAAAGCCGCCGCCAGGTGGCTCCTCGATACACGGCTCATAGACTGTCGCGGGCCCGGGCTTCTTTTTTAAGTCGTTTTCTGGGTGCGGGGTGCACCAGTCATATAGAACTTGGCACTCGCGCTAAGCGTGTTGCTTCGACACTGCTTCGTCATTGAGCCTAGTCACGCGCCTCAATAGCGGCAATAACAGTTTTACGAACCCACTGAGGCTCTGGCGGGGTGCTCAAGCCAGCGTCCACCATGGTAAGAGCAGACAGTCCGTGCTGAAAGGGCGCACGCCCGGGTGCAATGGAAACGATACACTTTTTTTCTCTCCTCAGCTGCGGCGTGTGGACGGCGGAGACGCTGTCGGCTGAGGCTACTCGTGCGGGCGTCAATAGAAATTTATATGGTCGATCGCGTCAGAGTGTTTGCCGCTCTCTGCCCTCATCTATATTGCAAGCAACCAAAAATATAAAATGCAAAAAATACTCCAAAAGCCGGGAGACGTCAAAATAGAACGATATCACCAGCCAGTTATCTTACGTCGCCGCTGCCGGCATGCATCGTGGAAGCTGTAGACTTTCTGCTCGCGCGACGACTTCGCTGCAACTCTCCACGGGCAGAAAACGACACAGCCCAAGCTGTCTTGTGCACTGCCGCCTGCCTCCTATGGACTACAGCTATGGTGGCGTCACGCATGTGTGGAACGCTTAGTGAGACCGGACCATTAGAATAGGACAACAACCTAACATAAAATAAAAAATGAACGACGTTTACAATTTCCTGTAATGCCGAATTAGAGCTAAGCTCTGGAGGAGGACGAGGGGAGGTACGGAGAGGAGGGTTTGCCCCTCCTCCGTATCCCCTCTCTCCTCCTCCTCTCCTCTTACACCCTCCTCTCCTTCTCCTCCACCCTCTCCCCTCCTCCATTCCCCTCCTCCCTCCTCTTCATCTCAATCTCCCCACTTCCCTTCCTCCTCCCCTTCTCCTCCCCACCGCCTCCCCCTTCCTCCCTCCCCCAGCCTCCCCCTCCATCGTGACGTTACTCGTGACGCTAGTGACCCTCATGACGTCACTCGTGAAGGCCTCGTGAAGGTCGTGACCTTCACGTGACCTTCACTGTGAAGGTCGTTACCTTCGTCGTGCCTTCGTTACGTCACACGTTACGTCACGAGTGACGTCATTAAGGGAAACGTTCCATAATGCAACGCGCAGATACGGCGACAGCGACGGCGACGCCGCTCAAGCCGGAAACGGGCTCTTAAGAGATGCGCTCTAAAAGCAAGTTCATTAAACGTTTAGCCTCCCCTGCGGGAGGCATCTTCAGTAAATACAGCAGCAACGTAAGGGTCTAATTTTTTTTAAGGTTTAAACATTTAGAATTCGTATGAAAGCAAAAGAAATAACATGACGTGAAAATACGTTCACTCGTATAACTTGTCGATTTTAAATATTATGTCTTTAAAACCACTGTTATGATTACAAAAACATGATAGTAATATCACTCGATCGGCCAAATGTTGTCACCGGAAACAACCACCTTGCCCTGTAGCACAATCGCTGTGGAACGAGTTCAAAATAAAAATAACACTTTCTCCTGACCTCGGAGCAGGCAACATCATTTTTATCGATTTACCATTGTTAAACTGCCGCCCTAATTTTCAGATATAATGTGCAGTATAATAAAACATAAATAAAGGGTAGCACGAAAATACAACTTACTGTTCATTCATCACTATATTAATTACAGTCAATCTCACTATTTCACGGAACTCGTTTCATATTTGCAATGTTTTTCCCTAATGTCACTCGCTTTGGAGAGTCGTCATACTCTTTTCGCCGTTTTCGCCGACGATTTTTCGAGCTCCTAATTCCAAGGCCACCATATGAATGCTGGTACATAAGGGCTCGCCAGACTAGTCAATTGCCTGTCTAGTATCGCCTGTCCACACTCTTTACCAGAGGGCACACGCAGAAAGCTTGATCATGTGGCGCGAAACAGAGTTTTCGCTAGACCAACTAAAACGTGACTTCCATTGGTTTTCTCAGCTTAGTAGTTGGTGGAGTAAAAACCTAAGAAATATGTCAGCATGTCAACAATTGAGTTGTATTCGATACACTGTTATACTTTAACTCGTTTACCAAATACGCTAATCAATTGACTTAAATTGTAGAAGTTCGTTCGAGCAGCCTGAACGTAAAATCATTTTTATTCGATACATTGACCGTTAAAGAAACAATTAAAATGCTAAAACACCCGAAAAAGCTGACAAAAATATTCTAGCGCATTTTGTTTTCAGAACTAAACTTCACCCTTTAGGGAATTCTATTAAATTTTAATTACTATATTACGCACTTAACAAGAAATGTATAAATACAGCGAAACTGCTAGCGCGAACAAGTGATTACCGGCGTCATTTTTTTTAAGAACTTAGGAACTGCGGTCAAAAGCATTATTCTGCTGGCAACTGCTGATTTGGGAAAATCTTCAAAAACACTGTAGTTCCCGCCAGTTTTTTTTAAGTAAATTGATCCAATATGGCGTCTGTCCTAGCAGTGTCGTGCAGCAGTGATTCTGATAAACGTGTAATTAGTTTGCTGTTTGTTTTGTTGTTGTTTAGTTGTCGTCTTTTTACTGACTGGTGCGCTTAGAAGGTAACCGCGTGAATTACGTATTGTGCTTGATCAAATGTTTGAACCTATTCAGTTCTAACCCTACCGAAAAAATCCGGTTTAACTTTTCACTATCCGGATTATGGAACCGGAAATTTCTTTCTGGAAACCCCAAATCCAGATTGCAGACAAAGGAATAATTTCTGAAAACCTAAATTCCAGATAGAATCCGGATAGAATCCAGATAGATTTTCGGTTCCATAATCCAGATAGCGAAAAGTTATACCGGATTTTTCGGTAGGGAAGTTAGCACCGTCCCGGTTGTTGACGTCTTTTCTCTGTCCATGTCGTTTTTCTTTTTTTCATACCTGTCTATCGTAAAACAAAGTAGCCCGATCTTAGGTTTTAAAAAGTCTTAATGTAGCTTCAAGAGAAAGCATCATATAAAATCATTAGTGGGAACTCAATATTTGCCTCGATGTCGCACTGACGTTATTCTAAATACGTATAAAATATCATGCGCATCAGCGATGGTACTATAAATTTTGCACGGGTTCCGCATAACCATATCTTAAATGTGTTTAGAAAAGTATTCTGTTATGGCTCTTGCAATTGAAAATGCAAAAAGTTTGGTCAGAATTGTTTACTTACGCGCGCAGTCCTTCCAGCATGTTTCAGCTTCTTTGAAACTGTTTCCTCCATCAGCGCAGCCCAAAAATTCCTCGCATCGTTTTGTTTTGTTATTGTATCCGTATCTTTGTTGGGGGTTTTCACATGTAGGTGTAGTTTGTATTGGCAGCGTGCATTTGTTATCTACCAGAACTATAAATAAAATAACAAGGCATAAATATGGTTATATCTAAAAAAAAAAATAACAAATTATTGCGATCAACAAAAACAAACACGTTGTCAGACGCATATATCTATGTGTGATAACAAAGAACGAAGACTCCGACCAAAGCCGTGGAAAAGTATACCAGAGTTTTGAAACCTGCTTGGTCGTCTTCATGGGTGACTGAATCGCGCGGGGAAACAGCATGTGGCTGGAGCAGCTCTCGTCTTGTTTGTCTGCCAAGGACAACCCTTTAATACAGAGGCGGCCCTTTGCAGCCGGGTTGAAAGTTGGGCTAGTTGGTAGCAGTTCATGATAAAATCCTTTGCTGTGCCACCTTCTTGAGTTCTGTATTGGCAGCATGCACAAAGCGCGACACTGTTAGCGCGAACAAGCGATCGCCGGTTTTTAATGTTTTTCTCTTTGAAACCAAGGGATGTCATCCAAGTTAGTAATGCTACGAAAAGATCTCATTCAGTTTTATAATGCAAGCGATGAAATTTCGCCCTCGCTAATAATATTTAGAAGTAAAATGCGAAAATGCGCCGCTGTCGTGTTTGCGCTAACAGTGTCGCGGTGTGTACTTCAACGTCGAAGACGAGCTTTTCAATATTATCAACGGAACAGCAATGGGTGCGTCCATATCTATCACGACGACCAACGCAACGATGAAAGCGATTAAACAACGGTCTTTCGCCGACTCCCCCAAAGTTTTAATGCGCAGAGTGGGGGATTGTTTCAGGATCCTACCGAAACCCCACGTAGCAATTGCCTGACACACCTCAAATCCATCGAGGTAGCCGTTGAATTCAGTGCTAGATGATAAAAGGTTGGCACCCTGCTTGTTCTCGATGTGCTGGTAAAAAGGTGAGGGAAGGAATTGAAGTTTACGGTGTACAATAAACTGACACACCGGGCGTTATTGGAAGTCCTACTAGAACCGCCCAATAACTCAGAAGGCGTCAGTTGTCTGGACAATCCATTCCAGCGAAACGACACTGTGCTCGTCGGAGACCAACAGACGAAATGAAAAGTGAACATTGCTCCTGACCTCGAAAATAACGAATATTTAAGCAGCTTAATTAAACGCATCGCCCACTGCCAAGGTCTAGCGCTCCAAATTCAGGAACCCCGCCCATCGCACAGATCAACTTCATGGTCGGGCGATATGCGCGCGCTTTTTTTTTTTTCATATTGCCTGTTCTGTCGCAGGAGAAAGCATGCTTACCGTGCTACGTGGGGCTGCTGCGACACAATTGTTCTCGCAGTTCCACCCTGCTGCTCAATGGGTTTTCTTACGCGTAGCTCAGTAGTTTACTGTTGAGTCCTAAATGGCAAGTCAACAGAGGGTAAGACTTTTGACATGCCTATCCACTAGCTAGTGAATCGCTAAGCACCCTATTAAAAAAAAGGATACCAAAGGAGAACCTAATTGTTTTGAATGATGAATCCCCATATACGGTTGTGTGCACCGGGCCATTTAAATCGGGATATTATGTACGCGGATGTAGCAAAACTAAGCTAGTTTCTGGAGCCGTGTTAACGGGGTTTGCTGGATCTTCAAAAAACCCGACGCCTGCATTCAAGAACGCCCGAAGGGAACCAGTTTTGTAGCTGACAAAAACTGCGCCGAAAAAGAAAAGGCAGAATTATTGGCCAAGTAGAGTGTGAACAGACCGACCAAGAGGAACCAAGCAGCTCTCAGGCACGTTCTCCCGTATTTTTGACTGAGTAGCCACTGGAAATTGTCCTCGAGTATAGTAGTGGCACCCCTTACGACCACGCTGTGGTGCAGCTGCCGGCCGCCCAGTGGTGCTTGCAGCCAAGCATATGGCAATGCCGCATTGGAGCCATAGGTGCTGTCATGCCTCACTGGAGAGGGCGCAAGACAGCGAGCGCGTATCCAGTCTGGTTGCGCTATATACTTAATAGCGAAGCGCTGGTGCATTTAAGGCTGAACCGCATGTAAGTGATTTAGCATGCGACGAGACGAGCGACGACGACAGCGACGAGAGTCAGCGACGAGTGACAGAAATTCCACACTGTCGCTCGGCCCGTCGCTCGGTTTTTGGATTTCTAGAAAACGTTGCTCATCGCCTTGGTCGCTTGCTCCCGTCGCTTTCATGCGGTTTGCCTCATAGCGCGACCGAAAAAGCGACATCGAAGCGGGTCGCCGTCGCTTGTCTCGTTGCTCGCGAAATCGCTTGCATGCGGTTTACACTTTACTGAGAAAAGAAGGTCTTCCAGTAGCTCAAAACGAGTATCCCGACTGGCAATTCATTCCGTGACAAAAAGAAATCGGGTCCCAGAATAAAACGCACAGGGTGTAATCTGACATATTATTTGCGCAGTGCAACCCACAACCAATATTGGCGAAATTAAGATATTTTAGAACGAATACACCAGCTCAAGTACGACATGCGAAAATCCGACACCGAGCGCTGCGCCGTCGAACAGCACGACGAGGCCCTCGATCATCGGATCGACCTCGCGAACCCACGCGAGATCGACAGCGAGCCTCATTTTCACAAATTACTTTTCCTGGAGTCGTGTCATATCCAGCAAACTATAGAAATTTTAAACAGATCCACTAGGTTTTTTGCGTTCGCGTACGCACAGGGCCCTCGCCACCTGGCAAAGACACAAAGACAACAAAGGACCGCCTCTGTGAAGAAAAGGTGGAGCTTTGCAGACAAAGAAGACGAGAGCTGCTGCTGTCCCGTACAGCTTCCCCGTGTGATCCAGTGAACCTTGCAGAGGAAACCAAGCAAACTTGAAAACGCTGGGACGCTTTTCGAAGGCTTTGTTTGGAGTATTTCCTATTAATTATTATAGTTCTACCGAATTAGACATATTTCTGTTTAAGGGGCTTACGTTTTCATACATATCTATGTGTTCTCGCACACCGAAACGTATATGGTGAAATATTCAGCCAACCAGATGCCAGGATATGTCAAATCGTTAAGGTAATATTAGGTCAAATGTCCTTAATGCCAAGGTAAAGCGAAGTGCATGAAGGTATTTTGTTTTTTTCAAGATATCGAAAACTATAACGGGTTCGCGTAAAAGATGTGTTCGGAGGGAGTAAATAAAAAAAAAACACAATAAAAACGCTCCTTTGAAGCACAGCTCAGATAGCTCCGATTGATATCAGACTCGGAAATATCATCTCATAATTTTAGCACCAAATGGTAGTGTGACCCTATAGAAAGAAAGAGTTGTACGCAATTTACCCAATAGATTATCCAAAAGTCATACAATTTATCTCCTTCATAAGTTCAAAGATATTTTCCACTATATTTTCTTCCAAATCTGCAATTTTGGAAATATATGGAACACGCGGGGTTTTTTATATCACAAAAAAAAAGTGCAACTTTGACGCTTTGCCGAAGTTCATACGTTTCTAATCATTCGCTATTTTCGCCAGCCAGCCTTTGCGCTGTGCATATACGGTTGCTTTTTCCCACCACCACGCACTCTAATTATATCAAAAATTTACTGATTCATTGATATTCGATTATGGTTACTAAGTGTCTGATTAAAACTATAGCTGCATTTTACTGATTCAAACGTGTCAAACTCAATAAAAATGTTATTATTTTAAGCGTATGTACCACACTTAATAGGAACCTTAAAAGTAACTATGCGGCAACAAATGTTTTTTTTTTTTTCTGCGATGCATAGTTTTCGCAGGAAAAGTCGAGTCGATGTTCTGTGAAGCCTCCGTTTTTCATTGCAGTGAGTGTTTGACGCACAGCCATTCTATACAAACAACTGCACGTGAAGCATGGTGTCGCACTAATTGACCTACAATCTATTATTTTAAAGTTCTGATATGTACACATCTATTTTGTGATAATTCTTTCCTTCGAGTGATGTCAAAACAAATGTAAAAAGCACATAAATGCTCCAGTTAGAGGTGTAGCCTTACGATAACTATACAGGGTTTTAACTCTTCACAATGCTTACATATCTTTCGGCTCAATAATAGGAAAACATTAGTAGGCACTGAACAACAAGTCAAGGAAAAGGCTCGAGGTATACCTAAGCACTTCTTATGAGTTGTGAATGGGAAGCATGAATGTTGTTCTTCGCGCCGCGCCCGCTCCTGATCCTCTCGGTGCTCTAGAGGTCTCGGCCGTTCCTACTCCGGCGCGGGCACGCAGCTCCATCGGGTGGCGCTAATTGTAACTGACGAGCGGATGCTTCATATCACTGCCGTTTTGCGTGGCTTTTTGCGTGGTTTCAAAGCTGGGATGCCTCAGATCGTTGCTTTGTGAATTTATCTGCCGTTTGGCGCGGCCGATGACGCTGGCTCGCTCCATGGGACAGTGAATGCTTTCGCAATAATAAAAGCTTTAACGCGAAAGCATTAACTGACCCATGGAGCGAACCGGCGTTACCCGCTTTTGAAGCCGTGCCAACGGCACCTAAATTCCTCGTTGTCTGTAGCAGTGAATAGAGGCGTAAAAGAGGGAGGGGGTGGTGCGCTCGGCAGCCATCTCTCTTCCCCTATCGGGTAATGTGTCAGGCCTGGCCGGAGGCGACGGAGGGGGTAGGGGGAGGAGAGGGGGAAATTCCCGCACCTGACGTTTACTACGCTCTGCTTTCAGCCATATCGCGCCGCGGAGGAAACTGTCTTCACCCGCAGAGGAGCGGGCGCGCTGCCCGCTGTCCTCCGTGCCGCGGACAGCAGGGTACGCTGCTTGTAGGAATGTACTGCCGTGTAGGAACGCGTTCGCATTCCTACACGTAAGCAGTCTTAAGTGCACGTAAACTCTTTATTTATCAGGCCCGGCGGGCACTAGATGTGAGAGTAACCATCGAAATAAATTGGCCACTTATCTTAAAGTGAAGCCAACTTTTAATTTACAGTTTGATGTGTCATATTCAGACGTCGGTGTTGACATCAAATTTTATAGAGGCTAGACCAATTAAAAAATTGCAAAGGAGCAGCCAGTTTTGAGACGTTGATTAGGGGTGCGCAATAATGGTTCCAACTAAATAGACCTGCGCCATTCATACCTTCTTCAGTGCGAGGCTGAGCCATGACAAAGGTGCAAGATATGCACGGCGTTTTTAGAAACGCGTGCCAAATCGCGCCTGCGAAAACTCCATATCTCACAGAAAATGGGTTGATGCCATAGTGGTTTGTGAAGGAAGGTTACTGGCGTTAAATAGAGTTGGGTAAATGACTACATTTCAGTAAATAAATTTTCTTTATTAATTTCGAAGTTTGGATTTTAATTGCAAACTTGATGCGAATCATGAAGCAATCGAACCACACTATAATGATATAAGGCATGTGCTTAGCATTTTGCGACGTACCTACGAAATTCTCAATTTGGACGCATTTCTAGGTTTAGGTTTCTTCTTGGAGCGGAACGTACTTCTACGCAACGCACATTGAAGGAGCGAAATAAGAAAGCCTCCGGACAGCCATTTAAGGTTCGCCTTTTTGACGCCGATGCCAGTGTGAAGACGGACCATATCCCAGACATGAAATATTTGCTGCGTCTCCTTTGGCATGGAATGACCAAGAGTAGCGTGACGCACGTTAAAGACCCCAGGCTAGCAATGGTACTGCATTAGCTAAATTTCTCATCTAAAGTGTAGACCAGCGTCGCCACACCTCAGAGGCTGACGGACCTTACGCATTTTATATGCGAACATCAAATTTGTTTCCCAATGCCAAGCTATTCGCTTGAAAATATTTGAACACCCCTAGCGGATTTTTCAGCACACTACTGGAGACGAAATTCTTAACACCATGAGAGAGCTTCGTCTCCGGCCACGCACGACGCTGGAGTCGACAAAGGGGCAGAAAGCCCCCAATCTTACAGCACTGCTGGGAGCCTGGCAAGTAGTAAGTGAAATTGAAATTTCAAACGCACTTGATATGAGCCACCCCTGGGTCACGGTGACGCTGTGCCGCAATTACGGCCTTTCAAGCGTCTTCATCTTCATGCTGTGCCGCAATTACGGCGTTTCAAGCGTCTTCATCTTCATACGTTCACTGAACATATCAAACCCTTTTTTTGCAGCAATCTTTACAATAACGTAATTTTTTATCCACTTTTCTTGACTGAAATGACTTTTCAATACTACCTTCTATATTATTGTGCTATTAATCGTTCGTAATCAGGTTGTCTAAACAAAAGGCTGATATGTAATACAACCTGGGATATATTTACTGATACGCACATACAAAGAAGCCTCGTCTTCGCTCTCGAGTTCTGAACAATATTACTTTTTCCTCTTACGACACACTAAAATGCACAGTGAAAACCACCGGCAACGTAAGCGCTGCAAGTAGCATTATCAAGCAGCCGAACTGCGAACCTGTACGCTCAATTGCCTGGATCTTTTTCCCTTTCAAACCTATTTTGTTTGAAAACAAACAAATAAGTGTAGCTATAAGTTATGTTGTTACATATCAACAAAAAATAGCCAATGTCTGCATAGCACAACCAATTACAGGTGTAGAAAAATCTCGGCATACCAGAAATGTTCTCACTAACTACTTGTAATCGCGAATTTGGATTGGCTCACTTAGAGTTAAGCTGTCGAAACGACATTGCCCCCTTGGCGACAGTAGAGTGCCTGGCAGCAGCAATTGACCTATACAAAACTTTGGCCGACGCTTGGTGACCAGTACTATCCGTTTTCGCGTAGGTCCCTTCCCATAGTAGGTATTCATTGATCCGTTTTCGCGTTTTTGTTGACTCATTCCGATACTCAGTGCAAAAAAGAAAGTGTCACGAGACCTGTCCACAATGATGCGTAGAACAGTGGCATACTTTTTTTTTTGTCACTGGTTACCAGTAGCCGTCGGCGTACGCGCTTCCAGGATAGTAGGGACTTTTAGTAGAGCGTACGCTAGAGCTTCGCCTTGCTAGCAGGAGCTAGTGCAGTCACTTCAAAGCATGTAATGACAACGCGCTGCCTGGGCGCACTCTCTGCTGCGTACAGTCTATTAAAACTCTCTAGTGGCGACGTGACTGGAAGGATTGCGTTGCTCTTTTAAACACCATCTGGAGCAGGAATGTCAGTGCTCTTTTTCCGTTGATTTCGGGATCCGGCGACAAAAAAAGTGAAGAATAAACAATCGGTATCTCAAAACCATTGATGTTTCTTTTATTTATTTAACTTGGTCTAACCCGTCGAAGAAGCTGCTGTACAAGCTGCATTTATAATACAGCCCATCAAACCATCAATTAGAATGTGAATTATCTGATTTCAGATAACTGACTTACTCATCGCGATGGTTACCCACCATCTAATTTTAACCGAGCTAAAGAAACACTGAGCGAAGACGGGATCTTTGTCGTAAGCTTAGTAACCCCTCCCCCTTTTTTATACGTATATACAAGAAAGTAATGTTGCGTAGAAACACATTCTTACAAGTTTTATTTTAAGAGCGTCGAAAACTTGCTGTGTAAGAACACATTTTCTATTGAAATGTTTAGTACCGCATGTATTTTACACGGTTTAAAAAATAACAGCAATTAATTAACTGTTATTTATAAACAAAAAAATACACTTACCTCCGCAGCGCCTGAAGCAGTCTTCGGCAGATTGAAATCCACCGCAAGACCCATCAGTAGCTTTTTTGCAAGTTTGATCCTTAGAATCGTATCGGTAACCCCAGCCGTCAATATACTCGCAGTCTTTTTCCGTGGGTTTAAGGCACAACCGTAGATCCACATCTTAAAAAAAAATATTTAATCTTGTTTTACGCAGGTATATTATCACAGATCTTTCTTATATTTGACGTATAGTCCCAAAGCATGAGAAAAGCATGACGTGCTGAATAAAATTTTCGGGCATGAGATGCGGATTTAATTATATTTATTAACGGCAAAGTTCAATCTGTCTACAAACCAGATCCTTTACAAAATTGCCCATATATATATATATGGATATGTTTGTAGAACATCTAGAGTTTTAACAATCCGTATATGGATTGTTTAAACAACTATCATCAAGGCAAACATGCGAAGTCACAGCGGGTATGGACTCATTCGTGGCGTTTTATATTCCGTAGAAGAGAGCTACTTCCCATGACGAAAATGCGTTGCACTTCCCGTAAACAAAGGTTACAGCGCACAAAAAAAAACAAAAAACATTCGAATTGCCTGTAGTTACTGACAGGAAGGTTCTGGTAAACCTCAGAATGGCGGGACGATGTTTTACTAAGAGACCTAGCTCTTAGCGAAACGTCGCCACGAAGTTTTGATATATGCCAGAAGCTCCTTCTTCACGTTCTTCTCCCAGCTTCGCTCCACTTGGCGTTTTGTTTGTAGTTACTGGGAGTTTAAGAAATTCAAGGTATGACCTGAAATATATATATATATATATATATATATATATATATATATATACAAAGTTGATAATAATACCGATAATTTCTATTCTAACTTCTTCAGTCACTGGTTGGAAGGCAAAAACAAATAAATTTCTTCTGCCGAGGAACAGTTACGCTCGCACATTTCTCGGCAAAGAGAACGTTATAGCAATAAAAAACGTATAAATAATCCCATCATTCAACAAAATACAGTTAACGATAATCCCAAATCCAGGATTTTGTACATAAGAAAGTAAAGATATTTAAAAACGAAACTATATTGAAAGCATATAAGCAACCATTTTATTTACACGAAGTGTGTATAATTAAAGAAACATATATCTAACATAAATTATAGACCTCAAGAAGTCTGCATTTATGAGAATATCAATGTAAAAACTGTGGCTACATGCAGTAACGACTGATAATAAACAATTCAGCACGACTTTCACATGATGATGTGATCTTTGTCGTTTTCAATAGTTAATTCTGCAATATAATTGGGTTCAGACTAATTATAGTATGGTATAATATGGTGGGGGACTCCTCACGCCACACGTTTCTTCGGTTTTTTGTGAATATAATTTCAGCTTTATTGCATCTTTTCGTCGTGCCTTCTAAGAATGTATTGAACACACGAGTTTTGTGTCAGGTATGGACGTCAGTTTTTCCCCTTGTTGTATCGACAGGTGCTTAATTTGATTCGGGCTCGAAGCTCATAACACGCTACGTGTCCAGCAATTCAAATTAATGGGGGTATAAACAATGTCTTTTTCAATTGGCACCCAATTTTGTAACTACCCCGAGGATATTTCTACCTAGTATTTTAACGTGTAAATTACAGTCATTCTCAATAACCATTTTAACGCCAGGAGAATAACAGTCGGACGAAATTACGAGCCCCAGTGTACTTAGAATATAGTTCCGTTATTCTGGCAGACCTTGATGACACGTTCCAGTCAGTAATATTTTTGAATGTTCATACGTCGCAGAAATAAATAATTAATAAATAGTCATCGTTAAAAAAATGATCAGATTAGTTTGGCGCGTTTACTAGACTAAGAAACCGCTTCGAAGTTTCAAGTCATTTTATAGCGGCTTTTTTCTGCACTAGTGATGACGCGCGCAGTCAACCAAACTGCACGTGCAGCATGGCACGGTATTTATTTTAGACCTGTATTGCTCAAGGACTGCCAGGCCCAATGGCACTCTCCACGCGCGTTTCTGTTCTGGCGATTATGGCGAGCTGCACAGGCTTGCATTGAAAGAGTCCGCTGTGCGCCAAAACTCATTTCCATAATGTATTGCCCAGCTCATCTTTATCGTAAGCTACACCCATGTTGCTCAAGTGGAGCTCCTCCGACAGCAAAATTAAAGTAGTCAATGACCACAAAATCCCGACACGACTAAAGATTGCAAAGTTTAGCGATTCTGCGCACAGGACGTCACCTCGATCGAAAAATTCATAAAGAAGAAAAGTTCTTTATGAACCGACGTTAACCTAAGCCTAATATTCGTCAAACTGAAATTTCAGAATCTGAGCACCTGTATTCTTTATTTCAGCGAAAAAAAATCTTGATAAAAAGGACAAGATTGTGCTTTCTTTCTTCTTTTGTTTTTACCGAGACAATTTTTTCACTGAAATAAATGCTACATGCGCCTACAGTTTCAACTTTTGTATAAATGAAGATCAATCAGGCTTCGGTAAACGTCGGCTCATAGAAAATTTGGGGTTTTCTTCTGTATCTTTCGATTTAGGTAGCAAGAACGGTGTATGTGCGCAGTTTACAAGGGCAACGCCAAATATCATCTGCTAAACCGTATGCTTCATGTAATTCAAACAGGTATCAACTATAGTTACTTGTCCCAGCTCTCATGGAGTCAGCTTCTGTCCGAAATGTTAGACTTAAGTGAAAGTATCCACGATAGTTACAAATTTGCAGTGTCTTTTTATCTCTAATGAAAACTCCACAAAGCACCTTCGCACTTCCCCTCTCTCTGGCTGATTTGCATCACGCTTGTTTGAAATTGAGGTTGGTACGCTAACTGCAACTATGAAGGCGAGAAAGTCGGGCTGCACTCGACAAGTCATTTTGGGACCGGTGCTTCGTGTTTACAGTGCGTAAGTGCAATCGTTGCATTCTTAGGCCAAACTTGCCATTAGTCTCTGAATGAAACATCGGCTAGGACCCGGAGGCTCCAATGAAAATATTTTTTAAGTTATTCCGACCAGCTTCGAGAAACTTTGGGGCGTATTTGCATATCCACCCAAAGCAAGCAGCGAACCAATTGCTATCATGTGCTGCTGACGGTCAACGAATAATGATGTCAGTGTGTTATTACTGATGCAACCACCACCGCTGCGCTGAGAGTGAGCCTTGCCCTGAGCAGACATCATTGCTCCAACAGAGCGTTATTTCACATTTCGTATCCCAAGCTCACTCAATATGTGACATTCATTTGCTTTCCACTTGCTTTAAAACAACACATACGCATGGCAAAGTTTTCTGGTATACAAAGTATGTTGCAACATCACATCAGCGCAAGCTTTATACCTTCAAAAACACTTCGTTTTACGGACATGTGGAAGCACAACAGAAGGCAGGGAAGGAGTGCTGGAAGTTGAGCTTCTGAAGATCTTATGTTGCAATAGACGGTTTATATTTAATGCTAACTGTAAAACAACACGACTCCAACGCTCCGTTAAGAAACTTTACCTATTCCGATTTACCCGAAAGTCTATCTTAGATGTTTTTATCTAACTTAACTTCACTTGATTTATAAATTTTTAAATACTGTCGCAATTTCCCCCGCGTCGGCTCCAGCCATATCTTGTTCATTGACTCATTTCGCTCTTTGTTTAGCACATCCCGTACTGTACACATCATCTTATTACTTGTAATTTAGCAAGACGCGGGTTATACACGTCCAATGAAGAAAAATAATAGTACATTTTTTGCCACAACTGAAATTACTGTATCTTATCGATTTGTATGAACTATAAAAACCTATCAATCCTAAAACCTGCCGAATATTGCAAAATAAAAAGTTCTACACAAACCGAACCAAACTTCTCTTTTTGAGATGTTCTTGGCAGAATGTAACAACAGCCGCTGCCGCGCATCCCTAGAAAGAGCAAGGCGGTACATAGCGGCACACATCTGTTTGTCGTAATCTAGAGCCTACCACTAAGAGAAACAACATGAGACAAGACTACACAACGATATTTGATTTATCTTTGTCTTCGGGTTTAGATTATGATATTTTCTAACCAGCTCGCCTCCACATTTAGCTCCTTGATTTGTTTTAGGGACGAAGCTCCTTAGGGTCTAGCCTTGTCCGGCGTCCGTGCTCACATCGATTGCCATCCCATTTGTCTTCTTAAAAAAATAAAAAAATAAAATATTTGCGCAGTCGACAGGGTTCGAACCTTTGCGGGGAGACTCCAATGGATTTCTAGTCCATCGCCTTAACCACTCGGCCACCACTGCGGGACGAGTAGGGGCCTCTGAGATGTGGTAGTAACTCAAGAGCTGGGGATGTCATGAATGAAACGTTGCATGTAGCCGCTACACGTCTATACAGGAGAGGGCGCTGCGGTCAAATGCGTATATAATCGCGTTAAACTTTGGATGCATTGGCTCAACGTCTATAGACGAGAGGGCGCTGCGGTCAAATGCTCAAATGCGTATATAGCCACGTTCCCATACCACGAATTCTCTTTCTACTTATGAGGAATAAAAAAAATCAGCACCATCAGCACTACCTATGAACAAAATCAGTATCATCAGCACCACCAGAGCTTCGCCCGAATCAACATCATTCACCACGTGGAAGTGCGGTCATTTTTTTCCTGTTTTAACCACGAAACGACCAAAAAAAATTAATCACAAGACCAAATTATTTTTCACGTGTCGTAAGTTTCTAGATTTAGCTGGTTTAGTAGCTTCCTGTAAGGATCATCAGGCTTCGCATTTACACTGTGCAATCGTTCTGAACAACAAAAACTTTTTTGACGCAAATAACTGAACATTTTATTTTTCTAAAAGTGTATGTGTTTGGATAATTTCTTCCCTTGGCACCGACAAGAACGGCCTTAATGCTTTTACATTTAGCAGGAAGTTTTCACAAAAAACATACTGCATAGCTCTCAAATACTTAGATTCATAGGAAATGTACAGTTTTCTGACAAACTCAAGTCCAGCACAAAACAGTTTAAATAAATGTAAAATATATCTCATGGCTTACCTCGACACTGCTTTATGCAGGACGCTTTATTATTAAACACATTTGCTCCTTGATCCTTGGGCGCACGAATTTCCAGGCACCTTCCGGTGCTTGGATCATAAGTTGTAACTGGAAGATCTAATGTTCCCATGCTCGGTGGTGGTTTTGCGTAGCACTTTTCAGGAACATGTGCTTTGGTATAAAAAAAATTACAATAAACTACTTATTCGACGTAGTGTATTATTCTTGGCTAATAGAGTATTTTCTTTTAAGAAATGAATTAACAATTGTAAACAAGAAAAACATGTTTAATTATTTTCCTTAATACTATCATAGACTTTTTTTAAGTGTCAGGACGTGTCGTAAGACTCTTTTATTTCTGCGCTATATCTGTTCAAACGGTAGACTACCTGTACAACTTTCAATAACACATATCACTTATTACTGAACACTTTATTATATTTTAGAAGGGAATATAAGAAAATATAATGCTTAGTTTAAGTATGATTCAGAATACAGTTTTGAACGATGCCGACAAGATATTTTATTCTACTAGAATCTGGATTTTATGCTTTACGTGCAAATTCAAACTATATTCTCTGTTCCTGAGAGATATACGTTAGAAAATCTTTCAATCACCCGTTATATAACAGAAAAAAACGGTGTGAGAAGAACAATAAGGCTGTTTCCTAGATAGAGCAGTCCATTAATTATTTTATACTTTTTTGCTATCGAAAAACGTCAATGCAGACTAGAATATGAAAGTAAACAAAAAGAGACAAGATCATTTAGCTATTTTTTTTTACTTACGTCTGCATCGTTTGTTGCAAGCAGATTCATTCAGGAATATATTTTCGTTGCTGTAGTCATCCCTTTTCGCATGATCAAATACGTAGCACTTGTCGAGTTCCGAGTTGTAACTCCATCCTTTTATAACTTCCCGGCCTCGACCAAATTTGGGCGTGTCGAGGCAGAGATTTTCATCCTGAGAGTTCTGGCCGCTACAAATACCTACACAAAGTAGTTGGTGCTCGGGTGAATTTCCGTAAAAGAATATATTTCTACACAAGTGTTGTGCGAACTGCCTATTTAAATTTAGGTAACATTCGACATAGATAAAGTCCCAGCAAATGACAGTTTCTTTTTATGAGTTTTGATTTTGACTCATAGTTGCATTTCTACTGGCGTCACTGCATGATATTTCTATTTGACAAAGGACCGACAAGAGACAAAGGCAATATCTTTGGATTCAATTTAAGGGCACTCCAATTCAAGACCACCACGTACCAGCTACAGCATTCAATCGCTACGAGGATCAACCAATAAAGGCAGTAGCCATGATCACTTTTTTTTATTTAATGACTGCGCCTTTCATCAATACGCAAGAGCCTCGGTAGCGAGGTATTCGCTCATCCTGGAGAAATAGTGGATGGCGGCAATCCCGGTGTCCGAGGAGCTTGCGGCTCATTCCTAACATTTATCTTACTCTAGAGTCATGACACAGAGCGCAACAATCAGAATCTCCATTCAACTTATGCAAACTGTAGCAGGCATTATTAGAAATTGGCTAAATTACAGCTCGAGAATAAAGGCTACCGCACACGGGGGGGGGGGGGGGGGGGGGGGGTAAGATGCGCAGGCTCCGGCTGAAGGCTCTCAGAGCAGGCTCGACAATTTTCGGTCTGATCCGCCTAGTTGGTTTTCATAAAAACTACACCAACTCGTTCCTCCTATATTTTGTTGCATGATTAGTTAAATGTGCGCACCGCGTGTGCTAGAATAAGCTATGACAGCGACGCCTCCCCCCCCCCCGTTACATATTTTATGAAGTCCACGTGACAGACATTATTATATTATTGGTTTCCTGATATTTGCCATCATACCAAGATCTCGGCTTACAGGAATCAAAAAAGAAACCAATAATTAATATAACGGGGTACTACATTTTTAGTGTCATCGCGTATTCGACTTTAGTTTTGATGATTAGTGAATCAACAGCAAAAACTTGAATTAAAAGCCGTTGTCACATTAAATAAAACTACGTTTATAAAAAGTTGAAAGAACGTCAAGATAAAAACAGTCCGAAAATAATATTAAAGATTTATGGGGCACTTCAACTCTTTCCTTGTCCGGCTTTCTGGATGCAATCACTTTGCAACAAGATTTTTCTTCCAATCTTGCTAGCGATTTAACAATATATTTTACTAGTATCGTTTGAACTATTAGAAAGCTTTCTGATTTTATGATTCATTATGGAGTGATAAAGTTTATTTACCTAGTAGTTCTTTATGTCAAATATTTAAATGGCCGGACTTGTCTCTCCACAAAGTCCCACGTTTCAACAAACCCACATGAAAATTGCAACAGCGTTTTCTGAAGTCACTGAGACTGCTACAAGCGAATCGTCGTCTAAATAGCCACTTTTCTAAACAAGTTTTGAAATCTGGTGCCTGTATTGAAAATTTTATGTTCCGCTATTTCTAAAAGTATTTGCTCCACGTGCCGCACTAAATCGCTGGGAAACAAAAGCCTCACGTTAAAAATAATCTTAGCCTGACTCCTTTCAGTACAGGTGTGACAAATCACTGATATAACATTTTTGGTGGCACTAGAGCATAAAACACCTTTAAAAAAACAAGCTCGCAGTGCTGACTCTCTCATTTGCCACGTAAAAAAGCGGCAAAGGGAGTAAAGCTGTAAATTATATAAATAATGTATCTAAACGAAATAAGATTAATTAAATACTAACCTAAGGCCGTGGCAATGAGGGCCCATACAATTTCCTTGTGCATCACGAGCTCTTCGAGGCTGAATTTACTGAGATACTATGAAGAACCTTCCTGCGGCAATGTGTTATTTTATATCACGGTGCCAGACTTCTGTTTTTTTTAGTAAACAAAAAGCCTGCGAAGAAAAACTAAAGAAAGATTTAGAAGTTTAATGAGCATCATAAATACCAGCTAAAACACATGCATCTTTTTTTTTTGAAATTTTTCATAAGAAATGACGTAGTTTAAGGAAAAAATCCTAAATGTATAAACAAAAATATAAAAAAATGCACAATATAACTAGTTGTTCATACGATGACCTTAGAAAACAAACGAACTTCCGAGTTTCACCTGGAAGTTAGAAGTTCAATAACATTATGTTTTTCGAACATTTCACAAACAAAATGTGATTGTTCGCATATGTTCCAAAACGTACTCGACCCCTACGCGGTAAATATCGCTTACTCAATGACGCGCTCTCTTGGTGACGTCAGAATTCGCACTTCTGAAGCAGGTTGCTAACTCCAGGGCCCTTAGACAGGCTGTCGTATATGGTAGCATGAGCAACCTCCCTCGCTTCCGTGGCCATAGCGTCGTCGAACGGATGCTTCATCGAACGACCAACTATTGTGAATAAAATTGTTTCTGCAGAAACGTTTGCGACGACCTTCTGTACAAGCGAAAGTTACTATATGGCACTGGTTCCAGTACACAGGAGCGAGAGGATGCTAACAGGCACGCAACTTTACTATACAGGTTTTTTGTTCTTGTTTTCTATCGATAATCGTTTTTAAAATGCCGTGAAAGTTATACTAATCCGGTTTGTGCACGTCACTTATACGTTCAAGGGAACATACAGGGAACCAGTTGTCACAATGAGCCGGATAAATAACTAAAATTTGTTATTTAACTTCTTACTAATAAAACATAAACAATGGGTTCTAATTAAAAACTTGCTGAGCGTCATCTATAACTACCAAATCAGTAAATTTTAGAAATATTTCGCGCACGTTTGCTAACATTGCCTGTTGGTGCGCTGAGGTTACCAACCCGTGTAACAGGCGCAGGGGCGGCGGTGCGAAGACAAGGGTATGAACACCACCGCGCGCTTATCATCCGTGGTTTCGCAACACCAGCTAGTGGTGACTTTAGCGCAACACCGCGTTTCGCACTCGCTCCAAATATTTCTAAAATTTACTAATTTCGTGGCTTTCGAAAAGATTTGCTAGCATTGAGCAGATTTGATTTAACTTCTGGAACAGATATCTGTTGAGTGATTTCATTTAAGATCAAACACAAGTGTCGGGGTGGTTATTTTGATTTGCCCCAAAAAAGATATACATTACAGTGCCACCTTACCAATAAACAAACCGCCTCTTTTTGTTTTCTTTTTTTCTTTTTGCGAAAAAAAAAAACACTGAGTTTAGCAAAGCGATCAACCATATATCGGCAACTTGATTTTTGTAGACAGTTCTGTCGCTTGTAATAAATATGTGAAAACAATAACACTTCCAATAATATTTTATATAAACCTATATTTCATGGTCTATTTCGTTTATTTAAATTAAGCTACTTTGGCACAATTCATACGAAACCAAATGCCTAACATTTTACCTTTGGCGTTAAAGTCATAACTTTGGAATCTTTTTTTTTTGTAGGATTTATTGCAGATGTCATAACTAAATATTATACGAGTGTAGACCTGTGGATCTGCTATCGACTGATATCACTTTAGCTTGATTTATCATTACAAAATCGTTTATATTAATTTAAAAATTTCATTAGAAATGAAAATGAGATATACAGGTTCTTATTTTTGTTTTCAAAAGCTTTAGAAATTTGTGTTTAAAAAGTTGTGAAAGTTACACTTATACGGTTTGTGCAGGTGAGTTATACGGCCAGGGAGACATTATGTGGGTGGCTAATCTTTTCGATAAGTCGGCTAATTAAAAGAAAATAATTATATTTTAATTACCGAAAAAAGACATGGTTTCCATTAGAAACTTAGTGTCATCGAAAACCACTAAATCAACTCATTTTAGAACGACGTGAAGCTCGTGCGAAACTCGGAGGCGCACCAAAGTTATCACTCATGCGGCAGGCAGAAAGCTAGCAGTAATAAAACACGGTAGATTATCATCGCGTTCCGCCACTTCTAGCTTTGCGCCTGCTGCACGATTGGTAACTCGTGCAGCAGGCACAAAGCGATGACAAACAATGACGTAGTTTCGTATGTATGTCCTCAGTAAACGTAAGAACCCCGTGTGAAAAACGACGGCTGGAGAACGAGCGCATAATAAAATCTTAAATGTTATTTGGACCACTCTGATAATGGTGCTCACTAAATGTTACAAAACGATCGAACGCCATAGCGCGGGACTCGCAAATCAGTGTAACTTTAAGGCTAATACCCGTGTCAGACGGGCACCTAAAAGGACCTTTACGCCAAAGGACCTTTAGTATAAATGTCCTTTGAGCAGTGCCACACGGCAACTCATATGTCATTTAGCGTAAAGGTCCTCCTCTTGAACCAGAGTTCCCGCAACTCCTCTACGGCTGCTAAAGGCCTACTCTCGTCAGCAGCGGTCTACACTAGAGAAGCGAATTAAAATAAAAGATCGCACCGATATCTAAAATCAATGCTTTTGCTACTTTATCATTGAAAAAGAGCGTGTTTAACGTATATTCTGTACAAACCTCGCTCTACTAATAGTTTTCTGTACTCACGGCCCCATCTATTTAGTAGGCCTCGTCGTCGCCTGCTCACGTCGTCCGCTTCGGCACTTCTGTTTTCCTCCTCTCAATTTTCCTTACAACCGTAGTTATTTAGCTTTTATTTCTCTAATTATATTACTATCCGCACTGTACATATTTAATGTCTTTTTGTACATTAATATTTCTGTACCTCACTCTCGCGTCGCGCGATACGTCGAAACACCGGAGGAGCGTCCACGAGTAGGAAGAGGTCGCCGCACTTCCATTGGAGCGCTCAGGCGACCTGGGCGCTGATACGACTTTGGGAGGATCGTCTGGAGGACCTCCGACGGGTGCGATGAACCTCAAGCGCGAGCAGGACGCCGAACCGAACAGGGCAAAAGCGTAGCAGAATCTCGGAAAGGAGCGGGAGCACTGACCAACGAGCCACCCTAGTTAAGACTGAAGCGGGAGACGTCCAGGGTTGCCGCTAATCGCCAGAAAACCACTTTTCTTGGGTTTGAAGTCGACTTTGTTGTAATCACCCGACTAAACTCGTCATTTTTTCTTGTTTCATATATTGTTTGCTTCAAAAAAAACTTAAAAATTATTTATATTGCCAAAAAAAACCTTTTCTGGCGTGAACATGGTTTATGCGTTCGAACCATTTGAACCGAGCTACGAGATTTCCATTGCTGTAAACATCGTCTAAATGTCCTTTACTTGCGCTGTCTGGCACGGTAAAACGTAAAGGTCATTTGAAATCTTAAAGGCCTTTGGCGTAAAGGTCTTTTTAGGTGCCCGGCTGATAGAGGTATAAGAAATTCCGACAAGTTCGAACGGAGTACGTTTCGGTCTTAAATTGATTTGCTTTCCCTAAAACGTCGTTAGAGTGAGACTCGTCTTTTTCCACCGTCGTCGACACGGGGATCTTACCTCTATGCCGTGTAGTTTGTATGTCCGTGATTCTCAGAACTGAACAACGCATAGCAAATAGCAGGTTTATTTTTATTTCGCACAGTGACTCTGAACCCTCAAAAAGAGTATTTAAAGTTTCATTAATACTACGGTTATTTCAAATTGTCACATAGTTTTTAAAACAATTCAAATGTTTAAAACTTGTAAAAAAACATTGTAAATAAAAGTAAGTTCTTTCTATCTTTGGCGGCTAACATCCGACCAGGTCTCCCTACCGCACCTCTCTGGAGCTGTGACCGCCATTTCGTACGCCCCGTGAACAAAATAAAAATAAACGATTTTGTTGTAATGCCTTATGTTCATTTAATGTCACTACCCATGCTTCACGTTTCAAGAATTACAAATAAAACATTAAAAATTACGCAGCATAACGCAAGCAATAAAAATGCAGGATATTCGATTGTAAAATAATATGTCATAAAATCGCAATCAATGTCTATAAAACATTGCAATATACAATTATACCTCATGCACTCTTAAAAATATGTCTATATATTCTTCCTTAAAGGGAGACATGATAATGTTTTTATATTCTTTTAGGAACGGAGGCACGTTCGTCCCTCCAAACTGGGGAGCAAAGTTCCTCCCTCGTCTGCGTTGCAATATGGCGGCTCCGAATCGAGTGACTCGAGCTCATTAAGGCTTAAAGGACGTCCGGACGCTACACCCATCGCCGGTCTTTTGCGCGGAACGCTGCCGCGATTGAACCGAAAAGAAGTAGCATAGTTTTTGGGAACGCACAAATTCCTCGTACCACTGGTGGCCCCCGAGGTCTGCTTAGCAGCTTTCGTAGGAAACGCAGTCAACCGCTTTCGAACCGACAGCTGTAGCAGATTAAAACATAACATGAGGTTTTCACGAACTGTTTTTATTATAGATCCGGGTTCCCGCGCAGGTAAGGAAACGTGTTTCGAACGCAGTCACTCAGTCTTCTCGTTTCCAACACTGCAATGTTAAACGGGGACAACCGAAACCCGGACACTTCGCGCAAGTCACGTCTCATCATTGCGAGTCCCCGCGACACATTTCCTTCGTCAGCACCGCAAGTCAGGGAGGAGTGGTAAACCATTCCTAAAACCAGAAGTCCTTCCCGAAAGAGCTAATTCAAAGCAGAGCTATCATAAGCTAAGCCAGAAAGATGTGTTTTGTTTCAGTGCTATATTATATTGTCGAATGCTAGTTGAAACATCCTTAAAAAGGTTTTTTAAAGAGTCTTATATATCAAAGCACTGCACAGTTAGCCTGATCCTGAAAAGTGCCCGAAAGCACGCACGTTTATTTTCCCTACGCTTCCCTTCTGTGGACTATTAGTGTGTTATCACGAGCCTTTGAAATAGAAGAAAACCATTCAT